ATCATATTAAATGGAAATTTAAACTTAAAATTATAGTTTTTTGATACTACTTTAGAATCGCAGTGCTGAACTCTGCATAATTAGCCTGAAGCAGTTGCCTTGTGCAAAACGTTTATGATTAAGACTTGTCTGAGATCCAATACCTGAAGTAGGTGGGGGGAAGCAATGGCTTCTTCAAATTGGTGAACAAAGTTTGCCTTTAAGAGACTAAATTCATGCTCTAGATAGGGCAAAAGAATCTCAATCTTTTAATTGGGACATTTAACTGAGCCATAAATAATACTTGTCCTGCCATGAGTGCAGAGGACTGGACAAGATAACTTCTCGAGGTCCCTTCCATCCTACGATTCTAGGATTCGTCCCTCTCCTTTCTAACTCTTCGCAGACATTTCACCCAGTGACACACAGCAGGTATATTAATAATTGAATTAGGGCTTGTCTACATTGGCACTTTGAAAAAACACATCCCTGAGCGCTGCAAGTTTCAGCGCTGTAATGTGCCAGTATAGACAGTGCACCAATACTGGTAGCTGCGCCCCTCGTGGAGGTGGGTGTTTTTTTTGTTTGTTTTTTGTTTTGTTTTGTTTCTTTTTTTTTTTTTTAAAAGCGCTGGGAGAGCTCTCTCCCAGCACTATGCTGCAACTACAAAAGGCGTGTTGCCAGTGAAGATATGGCCCTAAGATATGTTAACATTTCTCAAACTTTTGAAAGTCAAGTCCCTCTTCAGAAAAATGAAACCAATCCCTTCCCCTGCCCCAAAAATCCTACCATCTGTGATTAAAGGCCTGCCCATATTAATTTTTAGTTCTGTTCTTCTACCTCCATCCCCAGTCCTTCTAGTCTCATACTTCGGCAAATGTTAGTGTAGATCTTCATAATGTGATGCTTACTATCTCTGATGAGCTGTAAAATAACACTCACATTTAAAGTATCACTGACATCTGACTTAGCACTCAATGAAATGAACAGGGCAGTTCAAACTTCAAAGCATTTGTTTCAGGCTCTCTGCAAACTCAAGACACCGCAGCATGGTTTACATTCAGAGCACCTTTTGAAAGTTCTCCATAACAGAAGAGATTTTTTTTTTTTAAATGAAAACTGAGACTTTATAGAACAGCACTGCTGTATGTAATCTGGAAAGTTTTATTATACTCTCTACCATACTCAATATCAGATATCACAAAATTTCATTTTCCCTTAAACAGTATACATTTATGTGTTCATGATTATTCAATTAGTTCTGTTTAGCATCTTTCACACAAATCTTATCACAAAACATTAGGTTGCAAAACACAGAAGTTTCACACACACGAACACACACACAGACAGATAAGTATACCAAACTACACCGCTACCTCGATATAACGCGACCTGATATAACACAAATTTGGATATAACGCGGTAAAGCAGTGCTCTGTGGAGCAGGGCTGCGCACTCCGGTGGATTAAAGCAAGTTCAATACAACTCGGTTTCACCTATAATGCAGTAAGATTTTTTTGGCTCCCAAGGACAGTGTTATATCGAGGTAGAGGTGTATATATTTGAAAAAGATGATATAAGGGACTCAAACCTAATCTGCCGTATGAAGAAGAGGGGATTCATTTTTTGGTGGGCTCTAAAGAGAGAATTTCTAAATTGTCCAAGATCACTGTAGTGTTATCCATGCTTTATAAAAAAATAAATTAAATTCATTCAGGGTCTGCATTAACCTGTCCACTGATATTAACAAGATTAAGTGTTCTGAAGCACACACACAAAAAAAGCTCTGCATTAGCATTGTACCTCTCTAGGTAAATGTTTATGCTGCACAATAATGAACGCGTCAAATGTCACTTCACCACAGACACTGGATTTACCACCAATTTGACAAGGCTTTTTGAACTGACTTCTAAAATTAGAAGCATCAAATCAACTGACCCTGCCTTGGGACTTATTTAAGGGCCTGCCAGATTTACAGTTTTGGCAGAGAAGACCGTAACAACTGAGTAAGATTTACAATATGGTGTACAGGTTTTACATTTATTTCCAATATCACCTTTACAATTTTTACAGTCATACAGCTTTGTAGCATTCCTTAAAGATGTAACAACCTTTCTTACAATAGTGCTACCCAATGTACACAGTTCTACAGACCAAAAATATTTTTTAAGTTTTTCCAGGGAGACTTCTAAGAATCACAATAACAATCCCAGTTTTTCAGAATTCAGGAGAATGTGACGGACAATCAGACAAATTAAACAGCAGATAAAGCTATCTAAGGAACATGAAGAAAGTTTGGATAATGAAAAGGCTAAAACTAAGTATACAGAATTAAATGTATTTAAACACTGTGGCCAACAATCTAGTATTTAATGACCTGATCATTACTCAAGAAAACATCCCAAGTCCCGAAAATCGTGCTAAACAGGAAATTTGGTAGTGTGCTCTGGACCTCTGACATAAGGATAGGATTTTCAATATACAGCTAATTTTGAATCTCAAATCAAGGCTTTCATAATTTGCATGTGTAATTATACAAAATGTGTGTACTTCAAATATGAATTTATGAGAACTGGGGCAATACTTTCACTGGTTTAAAAACAACATATTATACACCTTAGGGCTTTTTTCAATTTAAATTTAAATTTTGTCATACTACTAGTCTCATATTAAAGAAATACTAAAACATTTCTACATAGATTTTCACCATTTGTTTTTAGTCTGTTCACATACTTTCCCCCCAAATAAAGAAAAGGTAACCTTGTAGAAATATAAACTGACTGGCAAATAGCCATTGTAGAGTTAGGTTGTGCATAAGCCTCCCACATGAACTGATTGCAACAAACACTAAAAATGTACGTCTCGTTAAAAGGATTTACCCAACTAAAAGTGCACGTTTTATCAAGATTTTTTTCTTACTGAAGGCCAGGACTGCATATGCAATTCCTAGTGAGCCAACTGGGTACACCAGCATTAACTAATAGCACTACTAACATATGGCTATATATCTTTTTGCATCACTCTCAACATATCTAATGGAATTCTGTGAGCAGACTTTCCTTTTTCCACTCTCCCACTGTGAACCTAAGTAACTCTTCAGGAGACTGCCCTATCACAGCAGGGCAGGCAAGAAACCTCTTTTGGATTAACACAAGTAGCACTAAAGCAGCATAACTTTCAATTTGCGGCTGCTCAACCACATGGCAGGTTTTTGACAATTTTTTTTCCAATTTAGACCAAACCAAAATTTCCTATGACCTTTTTACAAGATTCAAAATCTTGGGCGTCTATATTTACTTTTATCCCTAAGAGAAGACCAAGTTTCTGTGGAAGAAAGGAATTCGGTTCTAAAATTTAGCAACATATCTCAATAGCATTGATAAGTATAATACACATATGCCATTTAATTAACCAAAAGGAGCTGCAAGCACTTTTCCTGGAGACATGAAATGATACTTCAAGATTTAGCACTATGTTATAATCCCCCCACAGAAAAAAAAAAAGTATGGGGTTCCATTAGCAGATTATACTTTTGCTAAATGCAAACACACAAATATAAGTCACTGTCTTACATTTCAGGCAGAAGGAAGATTTCCCTATCTATTCCAGACATCTAAAAATAGATATTGGGTAATAGGAAATTGATCTGTTACTGACAATGAAATGGGTAGGCTTAGCTGCTACTATTGATGTGACAAAGCCATTTTCAGTACCATTACTCAAAGGGTGCTATACCCCATCTGCATCAGCAGTCACATCATTATCAATACTGAACCCATTATTGATAACCATGGTCAGCAACATGGCAATGACTTCCTAGTACAGAGTGGGTCCCCAAGCCAGAGGATATTTTGTTCCTCCAATCTACGTGTTTCTCTGATTAACATTAACGTTAAATATAACACACCATAACACTTCAGTCTGCAGTTCTGAAACCTTTCCTACCCAAGAATGTCAACAACAAACCAGTTATTGCAAGGAGCATGAAACGCTCTGCTTATGCTTCAGGGAGAGGAGCTTCAGGCTGCCTGTTCTAGAGAAAAGGAAGGCCTTGTACAGTTCAGCCCCACTTCCTACCCCACAGAAATACAGGGTAAGGTCTGGAACACTTGGGGTCTCTCACATTGATGGGGTTTGAGTAACCCCGCTCACCTGCCTTGAAACGTGTCAATTGCTTTAGTGGCATTTGGCTTGAAAGACCCAGAGACCACAGGATCCTTCTTAAAAAACACCCTCGACCGGGGCTGGGCTTCCCCAGCGCCACGGATCCACTTCGCTCCTCCAGGAAAATGAGTAATTCAATACAACCACAACCGCAGCCTCCCTGGACACCGGAGGCAGTCAGCGCTTCGGCCCCCAGCTCCCCGGGGCGGAGGAGGGGGGAGGGTAGCCTGCTACCCTTTGGGTCACAAGACAGGAGGGCGCCGCGCCTGTCTCTCGAGACAAGGAGACTCCCCACTCCCTGCCCACCCCTGGAGGGAGGCTGCTCGTCAGTCGCCCCCCGCCCACCAGCCTCCTCCACATATTATTCAGAGGAGCAGCCCCAGCGGCCGCATCACCCCCAGCATCAAGGGGATCCTCCGCCCCCCGCCCGCCTAGGGGCCACACCCAACCCCCCCCCCCCACCACCACACACACACACACACTC